TAGATTAATTATTATTATCTAAATAAAAAAAAATCAATGGTATAAAGCCAAATTTATATTTAAATTCACTTATATTAAATTAAATAATAAAAATTTTAATAGAAAGAATTAACCAAATTAATTATATTGACAAAATAAGTAAAAATTATAAATAATCTAATGTGATCTAGTGAAAAATTTTAAGAACACATCTGTAATGTTATTAAACATATAGTTAGTTAAATAAATACAAGTTTATTCAATTTGGTTCGGTTTGGTTAATTTGTTCAAAGAGCTTTTTTGTTTTTACAGGCCATAATGAGAGGACCGGATACGTTATTGGGCCTATAGTCGACTCAGGCCCAAACATATTGAAACAAGACGTGTGACAAAGTTGGATTGATTGGCGGTGACAAAAGTCAGGGGTATTTTAGTCAACGGAGATGGGTAACTCTCAACCCCTTAATAAAGTCTATCGTCGCATAAGCCCACTCTCAATCACATCAGCCCTAATTTATTTTCCTTTACTTTCTATCCAGAGAAGCCTCCGTCGAAATCATGACTACCAGAGAAGCCTCCGTCGAAATCATCACTACTGTACCCCAGAAATTCTGGCGTAAGTCTATCATATTGTTGAAATTGTTTGTCTGATATCTGTATTATATGACACCTGATCGATCTCGACACAAATCATTTGATTTAATCAAATTTTATTCTGAGTCGCTTTTGTAATGAATCTAATCGATCTGAAGTTGAATAGATTCGTTCTTATCGATCCTTTTTTCAAGTTCTTTTTTGTTTCCTTTCTCATGGCGATTGTTATTTTTCTCTTAAAACCTCGCAGTGGCTAAGACATTCGTCTTATGGGATCTGGAAGATTGCCCAGTCCCTCCTGATCTCACTGCTGCTTCGGTCTATTGTAATATCTTATCAGCTATCGGTAATATGGGTTACATTGGTAGCTTTTATCTCCATGCTTATTCTCTTAAGAACGAACCAGAGTTTGTTCAAGGGCTTGAACAAGCCTTTGGATTTAAGCTTGAATACACCAAAATCAAGATTTTTCGACCAGGTTAATTTCGAACAAAAGCTTTTATTTATTTATTTATACGTTGCGTCCTTTATCTGACCTCTCCTTGGATATATATTGTTGGTCGTTTCAGAAAGTATTCGTGCAAAACGTGAACATATAGTTGGGGACATTTATGAGTGGCAGTTAAGTAATCGCAATGAACCAACAAATATCTTGCTAATCTCAGGAGAGATCCTCGACTGCAATCAATACGTCGGGGCTCTCCAACTCTCTATAGATTACAATGGCAATGTTCTCTTGGCACTTCCTAGAGACCCATCTGAATCGGTAATTGGTGTTTCAAGATCAATTTGGCTTTGGTCTAGTCTATCAAAAGGAGGGGACCCTCTCATTGAGGAAACCAAAAGCTTGGAAGTCGTTAATACTCTATCTACTCCTCCTCGCACTGAACCGCCACTACTATGTCTTAACTGTTATAAGAAGCCGATTGACACAACAGAACCCGTATGCCAACAAACCAGCATTCTGGACAAATTCTCCTGTAAGCTTTCTCTCTATCTTGTCGTTTGTCTAATACATGGATTATATTACACCTGATCAATCTTTCGTACCAAACTCATGGCTATTCTTGTTTTTTTCCTTAAAACCTCTCAGCGGCTGAGGTAGGCGTCTTATGGGATCTGGATGTTTGTCCAATCCCATGTGGTCTCACTCCTGGGCGGATCTATCCTAATATCAAAACAGCTCTCCGTAATATGGGTTACTATGGTAAGGTCTATGTCTCTGCTTATTCTCTTGAGAAGCTCGTGAACATAGAAGAGTTTAAATCTGCCAGAATCAACCTTGTGCAACCAGGTTAATTCCTAAATTTAAAACCCTTTTGATCTT